AGGAATGACAAGCCAGTAAGAAGCAACATCTGTGTTTTAGGGATGAGTCAGCTAATTAGGCAGAAAAAAGGAACACGCTGAACAGGGGTTGTTGTGGAAGCAACCTTTCGTGCCACCCCCTCTGTGAGTTGATGCACTCAGCAAACAGAGTAGTACCTTGCTTGCTGCTTTGCATTCTGTCCTGCTAACCTGTGTTTGTTTTTCAGCTAGAAACCCAGTCCCTGACTCCTGTCCTGGCTTCCCAGCTTTGGACCTTGAACTCCAGACCTTCCAGCAACCCCCACACCTTTTGGACAGAACCTTTGGCCTCCTGACTCTGTACTGGTTTGTTGACTTTGATCTTTTGCTTGCCAAGCAGATGCTCCATCACTAAGCCACAGCCCCTCCCCAAATGGTTACTGACTGCTTATGTGCATTGGTAAATTATTAGAATGCACATGGTACTTTCTTATCCATTGTTCAGGGTCCTTCTCAGTTTTTAGCATTTTATATACGGACTTATGAAGGGGAACAAGGTGAAATGTGAATGAGCCATAGTGCAGCCATGTCTGTGAAGGCCAAGTAAAGAACTGAGGGGAACGTTTGACCAGTGATGCGCCACAACTGTTATACCTTGAATAAAACTTTTTTGGTCTTAAAGGAGCCACTGGACTCAAGCTTTGTTCTACGGCTTCAGACCAACATGGCTACCAACTTGAATCTAACTGTGTTCTTAGCTGAAGTCTCCAAAAGTCTGCATTCTTCACCTCAAAGGGCAAACTAACCTTTATCACAGATCCTGTTTTCTTAAACTATAGTAGTCCGCTGTTCATGTTGTGCTCGTAATGTACCATAGATAAGGTAGCAGTATTCTTAGAAGTATGTTAAGAAGGAAGTATAAATATGTTGTTGAAGGCTTGCACGGACGGAGTTCATTAGCTGTTGTTGATTTTCCGGGTTGTATGGCTGTGGTCTTGGCATTGTAGTAGCTGTGACTGGCATCCTCAGAGGTATAACACAGAAAGATGGAGTACTCTCTGTGTCAAGGTGAGACAAAAATGGTAGGCAGGTAATTTATATCTACTCAGGAAGGTGGGGTAGGGCTGAGTCATTATCTTGTAGGAGTTTCCCAGGCTGACACAGAGAGTACTCCATCTTTCTGTGTTATACCTTTGAGGATGCCAGCCACAGCTACTGACGAAACATCAGCTACTACAATGCCAAGACCATGGCCATACAGCCCGGAAAATCTACAACAGCTAATGAAGTATAAATTGCTTTTCTATTGGTCTAGAATTGGTGCAGTATTGAGTTGTCATTGTGTAACTGATGTAAGAGTCCTGCAAGTTCCTGATGTCAGTTTGTCTATAAATGCTTGTGCTTTTATCAGTGAAGTTGTCAGTGTCTTGAACTTTTGGAGAAAAAGATACCTTTTTGACCATGGTTAACTGAATAAAGACTTTGCTTCTACTGAACATAATTTTACTTATTTAGACCTCTTCGACTGAACCCAGATTTCTCCGTCGCTTACCAGAGGTAGTCAGGGATTCTGGAGACGTGCTCTCGAAAGGCAGGAGACTGGTCCCCCTCCGCATACCAGCGAGCGAGCATGTTAATGGTTTTTGATATCTGGAAGGCCAGCAAAAGGGCAACAGTTAGTACCTTTCCTCTAGGGCAGCTAAAGAATCCTGTATTTGTGCCTCTTGGCAAACTGAACTCTTGAATCAGGAGAACGAAACCCAAATGAAATTTCTTAGGGCTGTGAGAGCGTGGATTCGGGGACCAGCTCCCAGAACTAGTTTTCATTGGCCAGTTGGTGCTTACGAGGAATTAAGTATCTCCTTATCCTCCCTGACACTTCAGCCCAATCTCTGGCGTTTCAAGGAAACGAGCACTAAAAGGAAAGGAGCACTGAATTCAGCGGGACATACGTCCAAACTGAACGCTGAGCAAAGACAAGGGAGATGTCTCTGAGTGAGCCCATGGACCACCTGTATTCATCCATATCCAATCCCAAATACCACCCTCACATCAGGGAACTGCATCTCCACCAAAAGCCACAGCGAGGAGAGCTCGGGCAGAGTCCCTGGCACCTGCAGAGCGAGCCCAGCCCGGGACTGCTTTAGTCCTAAGAAGTGCTCCCTCTAAGCGGAGTTAGTGTGAGCTAGCTCAGAGTTTTTTTAGCCTCCGGCTCGCACATTTTTGTCTTCGCTCAGGAAGGGAGGGCTCCAGAGCAAATTAACTGATGCAGTCGCCAAATGGCTCGCTCACCACTTGAATGCCGGTAGCTCACAAAGTAGAATTTTTGCTCACAAGACTCCACCGCTTAGAGGGAGCATTGGTCCTAAGCCTAAACCGCAGACAAAACCTACAGGGCCAATGCTGATGCACTTGGTGAACTGGTCGTCGGCCTTGATGTGGTCGTAGAGTTCTTCTACGGCTTGGTTTCTCAGAGTCTTGCTGTGGAAACTCTCGTAGGTGTTGAATATTGCTGGAAGGGAGAAACAGAGAGAGAGAGAGAGAATAGAGGAGGGTCTGGTGACTAGTAGAAAACTCCAACGCCACATGACAGGAAAGAAGCCCATTCTAGGCTTTACAGCTTCCCCCCAGTTGTTCAGCCCCAAGGGCTGTGAACCCAGAGCTCTACAGTGAAAAGCACAAGCAAACTCAAAAGCCTCCCTCTCCACAGGTTTGGAAGGCATTATCATTCTTATTTTGAGAACCTCCCTCTCCTAGGACAACCCCCACACATCCAGTGGATTCTTCTCCCAAAGCCAGCTGTCAAGATGGTCAGAAGGTTCTGTAAGAGACCAGGTTCAACTGATGGGCCGCGCAAGAGCAGAGCAGGCAGAACAACACAACTTCATGTTGTCCAGCTCCAGGCTGTGCTCATTCCTTGGCCACGAACACACATGGAAATGCCTTACACTGAATTGGCCCATCAAGGTCAGTATTGTCTACTCAGACTGGCAGCAGCTCTCCAGGGTCTCAGGCAGTGAGGTCTTTCCCGTCACCTGCTGCTTGGTCTTTTTAACTGGCGGTGCCGGGGATTGAACCGGGGACCTTCTGCATGCCAAGTGGAGGCTCTTCCACTGAGCCTTTTATCAGTGAAGTTGTCAGTGTCTTGAACTTTTGGAGAAAAAGATACCTTTTTGACCATGGTTAACTGAATAAAGACTTTGCAGTGTCGAGTCCCACTCTTCGCGACCCCATGGACCACATCATGCCAGGCCCTCCTATCTTCCGTCGTGCTCCGGAGTTTGCTTAATTTCATGTTCGTTGCATCTATGACACTTTCTAACCATCTCATCCTTTGCTGTTCCCGTCTTCTTTGACCTTCAATCTTTCCCAGCATCAGGGTCTTCTCCAGTGAGGGCTCCCTTCTCATTTGGTGGCCAAAGTATTTGAGCTTCAGTTTCATTATCTGGCCTTCCAGGGAACAGTCAGGGTTGATTTCTTTTAGGATTGACTGATTTGATCTTCTTGCAGTCCAAGGGACTCTCAAGAGTCTTCTCCAGCACCATAGTTCAAAAGAATCTATTCTTCGGCGCTCGGCCTTCCTTATAGTCCAACTCTCGCAGCCATACATGACTACTGGGAATATCATTGCTTTGACCATGCGGACTTTTGCATAGAGACTGAAATATAAATCCTATTGTATGATCCACATATACTTATCAAAGCACAATGGCTCCAAATTACACACACATATATGTATACAAATTACCCACACACA